TGCTCCATCTATTACTCTCTAACAGATTGTAATTACACTTTACAATCATCTAACCGCATGTTTTTAAAACATTAAAACAGTTTGTTATAATGATAATAAATGAAGATCAGATGATAATCAAGGAACTAGAGAAAATTCAAGATGAAATTCAGGTAAAATAATAAACATTCTTGCAATAATTTTGTTTTAATAAGTTTCTTTCATCTATCATCTTCTTCACTCACAAAAACGAGATGTTTGTATATAATCATGAACAGGGAGGAAATCTAAAGGTTGTGACAGGAAACAGTGAAGCTGTTTCTCATTTGGTTTTTGCCGGATCAGACATTATGCTTTGTCTAAACTTTTTCCAAGATCCACTTCTCCAAGTCCCTGTAAGTTTCCAAACTCTCTGTTAGATAATAGAATCTATTGACAAGCTTTTTCTCATGGTGCAGCTCAAGGCTTTGAGGTACGGAACAGCTCCAATCGAACTAAATCCACAAACCGGGTAAGAATATGTCTTTAGCCAAGACAGTTAGAAAACAAGAATATAATATAAAGTCAATTGTTTCAGGCATGTTGGAACACATGAACAAGAGGCCAATTTTATCAATTCTTTATTCGGAAGAATGTCCTTAAGCCAAGCATTGGATCTTATAGTGAGTAACATTTGCTACTTTTAAAGGAGAGAAATTCATTTTAGTAAAATATTATAATTTTCTTTTATTAAAGCTAGATTGGATCTGTGTTTTATGATTGCAGAAAAAGGATGGGAGGTTGTGGAAGCTGAAGATGATGGAAGCAATGGAGAAAGACTTGTGCTGTGACGTTCACGTCTCTGCATATACTTCCATTAAGAACCTGTGAAAGTAGATAAGATTTGATTGGTTTCTCTCATCACATTGAAAGTCTCAGTCTGCATATGCTTATCAGTAAACAATATAGTTTTTACATATAGATTTGTTATAACAATGTGTTTATATTTTTCAACTGTTATCATTTGGATATTTGTAATCTAATATAATAGAATGACATATGTTACCTACCCAAAGTATGGAGACAGTCGCCACGACTGAGATAAGCAGACTTTGTTTTTCCTACACCATGTCACTACAAATCATAGTACCTTTGAGTATGTAAATCATTTTTGGTCAATTGCATGTAAACCTATTCATCATTAAAATTAGATTAGATCTTAAGTTTTCATCAAAAACAGAAAAAAATGATAAATAGTAGGTGTATTTAACCACGCGTTTGTGGTCGGATGATCAAGATATTCTGTAGATTTTTAAAGAACCCGAATTCGAATCAGCACTATACTAAATTTCCACGGATGTGACACCGAGATTTTTATATTTTCTTTTCGGGAATGGTTTACCATTTTTAAAATATTACCTGTAGGTTTATGTTTAATTTACTTCCAACTAATATTGAGATTCTTTGTTTTCTTTTTTGTTGCCAACGAATTAAAAATAGTTTTTTTTTATCGGATGTCCCCGAAGAGACTAGTTTTTTTATATATGTTGATTAAAAAAGGAAAATAAGAAACTGATATCGTTGTGATATTTTTGACCATGCAAAAAAAAAAAAAAAAAAACTGAAAATACCGAAATCAAGATTTGAAATAAAAGAATATACTCCAAAGTCAAAACAAAAACCAGGGTTATCGGAATTTCAGGAATAAAAAGAGCTGTATTAGTTAGACATACATATAAAAACTTTAATTTTATCTTTTAGTAAAAGAAGGAAGTGTTGTTGTAATCTCAGAGAGAAAGAAAAAAAAAAAGATAATGACGAAATATGGTGGCCAGAGAGATTCTCCGGCTATAGCATCAGCAGAAGCTTCTTCGACTCTTACCTCTACTAAACGATTTTGGACTCCTGGAAGGTAAAATTTAAATTCGTAACTAAATCGAATTACGATGATTGATTGATTGATTAATTGAATGATGACGATAATGATTTCATCAAAGAAAAAAAAAAGAAAACGTTTAAAGCGTGTGGTCGTGTGTGAATTTAGGATTTTACGATTCCATGACGAAACTTGTGATTTTTGAATCTTGTTGTTTTTTTTTTTTGTTTAATTTATTCTAAATCGTGACGGATTTGTATTTTGTAGATTCGTTACGATATTGTGTATTGTGAATTTGATTAATTACGTGGATCGAGGAGTGATTGCGAGTAACGGTGTTAACGGAAGCTCAAGAACTTGTGATTCCAAAGGCCTTTGCTCTGCTGGCACTGGAATTCAGTTAGTGTTTTTCTTTTTTATTTTTTTTTTTATGATTTATAATTTTTTGATTATGAAAAGACTTAAACTTGTTGTTGTTGAAACAGAGGAGAGTTTAGGTTGAGCAATTTTCAAGATGGTCTTTTGTCTTCTGCGTTTATGGTTGGTCTTCTTGTTGCTTCTCCTATCTTCGCTGCTCTCTCCAAAAGGTTAAGCCTTTTTTTTTTTGGTTAGAAACACTTAAAAAGTCAATTTTTTTGGTTAGAAACACTTAAAAAGTCAATGTTTTAATCATCTCTGTCTTTGTTTGCAGGTTCAATCCTTTTAAACTAATTGGAGTAGGACTAACTGTGTGGACTCTAGCTGCTGTTGGTTGTGGCTTCTCTTACAACTTCTGGATGATTGCTGTTTTCCGAATGTGAGTGTTTCACTCTTTTGTTTTCAGTAATTTTTAAAAAAAGATTAAAAGATCTGTTAATTTGATAATTTTTGCTTATTATTAGGTTTGTTGGAGTTGGTGAGGCTTCTTTCATTAGTCTTGCAGCACCATACATTGATGATAGTGCTCCTGCTGCACGGGTTTGTTTCCATTACTATTACTGTTTAGGTTCTTTGAGTGGGAACTGTGGTGTGCTAAACTTGTTGATCTTTTGTGAATCAGAAAAATCTCTGGCTTGGACTGTTCTACATGTGTATACCAGCAGGTGTTGCTCTAGGCTACGTGTTTGGTGGATATGTAAGCATAATGCTTTCACCCCTTCTCTGATTTTTTGGTTTATAATGTTTAAGTTGATACTTATGTTTGCTTTAACGTTCAGGTTGGTGAACATATTGGATGGCGTTGGGCGTTTTATATTGAAGCAATTGCAATGGCTTTCTTTGTTGTTTTGTCCTTTTGTATCAAACCTCCACAGCTCAAAGGTAGCTTTAGTTTTTTTTTGTATTTACTATAACCATATAGTTTCTTCTGGTTACTTTTGATTAAAATGTTCTTCTTCCTCTTTGTGTGAGATAGGTTTTGCTGCTAAAGAATCGAAGAAACCCTCTACATCTAGTGAAACGGTCGCTCTTGCACATGCAGATGCTTCCCAAATCAAAACCGTAACCCCCAAGTGAGTTGCTACTGTTCTGGCCTCTATGCAAAAGACCATCTATATATATGTACACACACTAACATTCTTCTATTTATTTCTTTTGGGGGCAGATCCAAAAGCGAGAACCTTGTAGTTGTATTTGGAAAAGACATGAAGGCTCTATTCAGCGAGAAAGTATTTATAGTGAATGTTCTTGGTTACATAACCTACAACTTTGTGATTGGAGCTTACTCGTATTGGGGACCAAAAGCTGGTTTTGGTATCTACCACATGAAAAACGCAGACATGATTTTTGGAGGTCTTACCATCATCTGTGGGATCATTGGAACGTTAGGTGGAAGCTATGTGCTTGATCGCATCAACGCTACACTTCCAAACACCTTCAAGGTAAATAAACCAAAACTTTAACTAACTTTTTCTCTTGACTGAACACTAAACTAACTTTCATTAACTGATCATTTTATATAGTTACTAGCTGCATCAACTTTATTCGGGGCAGCGTTTTGTTTTGCTGCTTTCTGCATGAAGAATATGTATGCCTTCATCGGCCTATTCGCAGTGGGAGAGATTTTAATCTTTGCACCACAGGTAACATAATCAAATCCTTACAAGAGTTTTTTGTTTCTTTTCTTTTTAAAGTTGCATTTGAGCTTTTTTTCTTCTTTTTGCAGGCTCCGGTTAACTTTGTGTGTCTACATTGCGTTAGACCAAACTTGAGACCACTATCAATGGCTTCTTCAACTGTTTTGATCCACATCTTAGGAGATGTTCCTTCTTCCCCTCTATATGGAAAAATGCAGGATCGTCTCAAAAACTGGAGGACATCAACTCTTATAATAACTTCAATCCTCTTCCTTGCAGCTATTATATGGGGTATTGGTAAGTACTCAGAAATTCATTTTGTTACTCATGATTCTTTTTTTTTTCTTGCTCTATGTATGGTAAGTATAGTGTTCTAAGTAGTTTTGTTTGTTTGTTTGCAGGGATATTTATGAATAGTGTGGACCGGTCTAATGAAAAGAGTGAAGATGAGGTCGAGGAGGAAGAGAATTTGGAAACCAAACCAGAAAACGTCTAAATTTTTGAAGACATTTATCAATTTTTCTTCCACCACCAAATAATTTTTTTAGATTTTTTTTTCTTCCACATTTGTTCAGTTGAACTACAATTCATTTGATTCAGTTTCTTTCTCCTTTGCTTCTTAATTTCTTTGGTGTACATAAACTAATTTTTAGAATAAAATTTTCTTTTATCCTTTCTACTCTTTATAGAGATTCTCTTATAAACGTGTAACTGTTACTCTGTTCTGCAAATCATTATTTACTTTTCTGAGTCTGCCCAATCCTATTTACTCTTTTGAATCTTTAAGTTAATTCACAGGAAACTTAGATCAACAATACAATAACTAAAACCATGCTTGACAGATGAATATGACCACTGCAATTATACAATAACTAAACTTAAATCGCTTGCAGTAAGTAGTTTCAAAAACAGAGCATGTAACTGGAAGAAGAAAAGAAAAAATAATAGTTCTTATTTCAACTGGAAGAAGAAAAAAATTATGATAGGAAAAACAAATGGGGATTTCTTGAAATTCGTCTACTCAACATTATTAGCTTTATTTGAAGTTACATAAAATAAGCTGTTTTATTTTTACTTTTGGTTTAAAACATTGTTGGTTCATCTTCATCAGTTCAGAAGTTTGGACCAGCTGCAAGAATCTCTTCTGTCAATTTTCCATCCTCTCCAATCTTATGACTTGTGAATGTCTCAAAATTGTTTCTAAACAAACCAGCCAACTTCAACAATGTGTCCTTATAAGCATCTTGATCTTCCCACTGCACCAAACAAACACACATTCATAAATGTGTTTTCATTCTCATTCCTAACAAATAATTATTCATATTTTTTTCTCTGTAACTTACTGCATTCATAGGTTCTAGAATCTCTGAAGGCACTCCTTCAACTTCATTTGGAATCTCCAAACCAAAAATCTCTGTTTTCTGATATGTTGCATTCAACAGACTTCCTGAATGTATAGCATCAATAATCTTTCTTGTATATGCCAACTTTATCCTACTTCCAGATCCATAGCTACAAATTTATCAACAGTATTAACATATGATATGTGTTTCTTTATTATGTTTGTGAGCTGGAAGTAGGATGTATGAGTAGTACCTTCCACCGGACCAGCCGGTGTTAACAAGCCAACCGGTGGCTCCTTGAGCTTGCATTTTCTCAGCTAACATAGCTGCGTATTTGGTTGGGTGAAGCATAATGAAAGCAGCACCAAAACAAGCCGAGAAAGTTGCTCTTGGCTCCTTAACTCCTTCCTCTGTTCCTGCAACCTACAAAACCACACATTCATTGCTCACCAACTTTAAACTAGTGTTTGGTTGTGTCTTGGCTGATGATAGACTTACGAGAGCAGTGTAGCCACTGATGAAATGATACATAGTCTGAGCAAGATTCAGCTTACTGATTGGCGGCAACACACCAAAGGCATCACAAGCCAATAAGATGACATTCTTAGGGTGTGGTCCAACGCAAGGTATCTTCGAGTTTGGTATATACTCTATGGGATAAGCCGCACGTGTGTTCTCCGTCACCGACTTGTCATTATAATCCACTTCTCTCGTGTGCTCATCAAACACAACATTCTCCAAAACTGTCCACAAAACGTATTATGTACGTTAGGGTAAATAGCTTGTAAACCAAGTTTTGTTGTGATGATAAGAGCATGCACATCAAGATTTCATGGCACAAGTTCACACGTTTTCCCATAAGAAAATATTATAATAATCAGTTTCGATGAACTCGGCTCGCAACACCTCCTCCGGATGAATCCGGTTTATGACTATTTTGCTCTGTTTTTTTTTAAGTCAAAAAAAAAAAATTAAAATCGTGAACCCCAAAGGGATTTCACTGATGCACTTGCTCTAACGTACCGGTTCCAAACTTGATAGCGTTCCAAATATCAGGCTCTTTCTCCCTCGATAAATCAATGCATTTAGCATAACAACCACCTTCAATGTTCGAGACTCCTTCATCACTCCAACAATGCTCATCATCTCCAATCAAATACCGGTTATGATCGGTAGACAATGTAGTTTTTCCGGTTCCAGATAAACCGAAAAAGAGAGCAACATCTCCTTCTTTACCCATGTTACAACCGGAATGAAGTGACAAAATCTTTCTCTTAGGCATTAGATAATGCATCACACCGAATAGTCCTTTCTTCATTTCTCCAGCGTATTGTGTCCCTAGAATCACCATCTCTCTTCTTCCTAGGTTTATGTCGACACTGGTCGATGATGTCATGTAATGAGTGTAACGGTTGCATGGGAATTTTCCAGCGTTGTAGATTGTGAAATCTGGTGTCCCGAAATTCACTAGCTCCTCGGGTGTTGGACGTATACACATGTTGTGCATGAATAGTGAATGGTATGCTCTTGCTGATACTATTCTGACTTTGATTTTGTTCTCTGGGTCCCAGTTTAGGTATTGATCATTCACAAACACCTAATAATATGTATAAATATCATCAGTTAATGTATTTATTTTTAGTTTTATATGTTTATGTTTATATGACTGAGTTATAATACCTTATCCAAAGAGTTCAAGTAATCAACAGCTCTTTCTCGGTTCACCAAAAAGGTTTGTTCATCCATTTCAATATTTGGTGATCCTCTGTTATATAAAAATTGTAACATAATGCATTAGAGATGATATGATTAATTAGTAACACCAAATCACTATATTTGGTTATCTTGATTATGTAAATGTATATGAGAGGGACTTACTTTCCCCACCAGAGCTCAGCCGCAGTTGTCTCAGTCTTAACCACACGCTTGTCTTTAGGAGACCGACCAGTTTTGGCTCCCGACAACGTAGCCAACGCACCGGTCGATGTCACAAACGATCCTTTCTCATATTTTATCGCCTGCTCGTACAATTCTACAAACCATAAAATATCGAAATGTGACTTTTGTGTGTTCAATAATAAAATATTGTTAATGAAAATGGATGGTGTTTTTTTACCGGCGGGAGAGAGGTTGTGAAGGATATGCGTAAATTTCAAGCCGCTGTCACTGACGTCAGCAGCTGGAACTGACGTAGGAGTGTGTGGAACGTGTGCCACTTTCGCGGCTGACGTGGGATCTCCTTTGATTAGCTTCGGTCCTGTCTCTCTCGTTAAAGAAGCCAATGATGCACTGTCCATTAATTCATCAAAAAATTACAATATTTCGTTATACCATTGTTTTATCAAATTTCATATATTCCTTCCGTTTGATATTAAGTGTCGTTGTAAATAATTTTTTTCGTTACAAAATAATTGTCGTTTTCGATTTTTGATACAAAATTTATTAATTTTTGTATGTAATTTTTTTCTATTGGTTAAAATGTGATTAATTGTATAAGTAATTGTATTTTTATATAGGAAATATGTAAAATTAATTATTTTTTTAATCTAATTAATTATTTTTTTAATCTGTGTGCACAACTCTAAAATGACATTGAGTAATATTTATCGACAGAGAAATGTATTTTGGTCTTTGACTGGTAACATGCAAAAAGTTGAAATGATTCCATGGATTATATTAATAACAAATGTACACACACCTGACGGATTGAAGCATGGTCTCGCGGGAGGAAGGAGTAGTAGGACCACTAGTTCCCATCACTACACCACCTCCTTCTTTGAGAGGAGTGGTAGGAGCAGATCGTTTCTTCTGGAGACTGTGGAGCTCGTCGATGGTCTGGAAGTTGACCCGTGGCGCAGTGTCATCGTGACACACGTCTGCAGACTTAGCTCCCTTCTCCGTCGTGATCCTCGGAAGCGCGTCACGTGCCGCTGCAGCCGAGAAACTGAAGTCTCCACCAGCGTTTTCGTTTCCATTCCCCGCCATTTTTCCACCAACTTGTGATTGATATTATACACACAATTAACACAAAAGTATATACACGTATATGTGAATTTAAAAGAGGTATGAAGAAAATGTTCGTACCGGAATGTCTTCTTTTTTTCTTCTTGTGAAAGAATTAAGATTATATAAATACGAAAAATAAATTGTTTGAAGGAGAGGAAATTAATGGTTGATGATGGAAAAGAGGAAGACGAAGCCGTTTTTATAGGCTTTCCTTTGACTCGGTTTCTTTTGATTAATCAAGATTATCGTCTGCATGCCTTTGATTAATTGATGTGTATATATGATATTTAGGGTAGATAAGATTATTAGTATAATTTATTACCTTTGTTAGCGTTGCCAGAGTCCAACTTTTTTTATCACAAATTTACATCACAATTAAAGGTCCTTTTTTGAAAGATAATTAAAGATCCATTTTTAATGGACATGCAATTTTTTTTTTTTTATAACCGACTATCCTAACCTCATCGTAGTGGTCTAGACCAGTGGCGGAGCTAGGCAAGTTGGTCAGGAGGGTCAATTCATAATTATCATATATTACAGGGGTCAATTAACTAAATTCTACACTATTTTCCTAGTTTTCCAAAGAAATATACATGTAAAGCTGTTTTTTTTTATAAATTCACATGGGTCAATTGACCCACATGCTAACAAGGTGGCTCCGCCACTGGTCTAGACTAGAGATCGAAGCGAGCAAAGACACTGCTAGAATGTCACATGTGGCTGACTATAATGATTTTCGGTCTCGGACGCCAGAGCAAGTCGATATGTAAATTCCTTGGTGGCTAACGCGGATCGAATCCAAGAAAGGTACTCGAGCCGGAGTTCTATTACCATTAGCCCAACTCGGATAATAGATAATGTATTCATGTTTCTATTGACGAGACAATTCGGATAAAACAATACTTGGATAACATTCAACTAATTCATTCTGGTAACAGTTTTAAAAATATGTCTGGATCTTAAATGTAAAACGTCGTTTTCCAACAACTTATCCGTACAAAGTACAGACGTATATTAAAAGCACAAAATTTCTCTAATAATCAATAGATTATTCTTTTCAATTGTTTTTTTTTTAATTCCCTTTCAGTTGTTTGACATAGTTTTATAACACTACGCCAAAGTTGAAGCTTTGTATATGTGTGTGTGACATGAAACAATACTTAAATGTATATATAATTATATTAAGTGTTAAAAAAACTTATATATTTATAATCGTTAATTAATATCGCTATTGCAAGGCAGAAGTTATCAACAAAAATATACATCGTTGTTTTACTTCAAGTTGAAAGATGATCCACCGGCAACGTGGGCTTTAGTAAACCAAAGTTTACTTAAAAGTTAAATTCCCCCAAGTTTAGCTATACTTAAACCTTTTAGAGACCAAATGTCAATATGTTGATCTGAACCGTTGATTTCAAGGGACGGGATCGGAAGGTCAATGTTGATAGCTTTTTCCACATCATAACCACATCAGCTGGCTTATCTCAACGGGCGTATCACGATGACGGTAATAACACGTGGACCTTTCACAGTTGACCAACTTTTTTGAAAATGCCACTAAATAAGTATACTACTATACATTGAGAGAGATATTGTCAGTAAATAAATACATTTCTTTTGCCTCGACTTGTAGCACATTTTCAACTAATAAAAATCAGCTACACCGAATTTTAAAGTCAATTTAAAAAAAAAAAAGACAAAAAATACAGTATATGTTTACATATATATATGCTCAACATAAATATTGATGATATCTTTCGTCATTACTTACTTATGTATAAATAAAAATTGAGAGTTAAAAGTATTTTGCATACTTAACAAAAGGCTTCAGCAAAAAAACGTTTAGAAAAGTCTTAGCCTTAAGTTAAATGGTTTGGGGACTTAAGGATATGCCCATTTTCTTTGACAAGTTTTTGTATAGTAAATATTCTATAGCCTTTACATATCAGCCCACGGCATGAACAGATAAGGCTTTATTTGGGGTATACTTATATATCAATGGGCTTACATCCAGTTTTTAATATTAACGGGCTTAGTAATACCAATTGCTCTGATCTATTTTTTTTTACAATATTAGGCTCTATTGACTTACAAATACATCAAAATCTGACTGTTATTTATTTTTTATTTTTTTCTAACCGAGTATCATAACCCCACCGAATTAGTCTAGACTAAAGACCAAAGTGAGTAAGAACACTGTCAGGACGTCACCATGTGGCTCACCTATAACGATCTTCAATCTCGAATGCTGCATCCCATATGTAAATTCCGCAGTGGCCAAGACTCGAATCTAGGGGCGGGCACTACAGCTGGAGCTCCTTTACCACTAGAGCAAAACATCTTGGTTTATAGGTTAACAACGACTTTATTTTGTTTGTAAACCCTTTTCCGAAAATTCAAACCTTACTTAGGCCTAAATGATACTAAAAACATGAACATTTCATTGTTTTTTAGCTGCAAAGACCATTAATAAATCATATGCAATATGTAAATGGTCTATGAAAGAATATGTTTGTATTTTGACCACTAGTTCCAGATTCTTCGGCCACTGACCATCTGGAATCACGTCTGTAGGGGGACCTTCGACATTAGCTGATATCATTTATCCAATATTTTAACACACAAATCATTGCAACTTGGCGTTCCATTTATAATGCTTTGTCGATTATGATATTATGGAGTAGTTAGAAGCATAATTAGTTGTTAATGACATTCTGCTAGTCCCTAAATTACCTAGTTTTCGACTGAACATAGTTTTATCATTATAAGAACCAAAACCAAGGGACCCATCTGACCCTTTTAAGTTTTCTATAACAATAAGCCATAATGATGATCACAAGACTAATCATGATCATTCATAATATAGATATAAAATATAACAAATCCATTAAGTTCGAACGGCACGATAATATAAACTAAGTAGAAATTACTTTTGATATTGAAATCCAGCGTTGAAAGCACACTATCTAATAATCCACTAGACCTGCTTTTAAATTTTATATCAGAGAAAAAACACACTTCATCTATTACTTTTTATACTTTTTGAGCCACGAATTTGGAATCTCTGAAAAAATACAAAAAGGAGGATGATAAAAAGTTAAAAGATCAATTAAATTCTCAAGTACCAATCTCTGCGTTACAAAAAAAGGCCACACCCGTCGGCTACTGCTTGTCGCAATCATGCACCTCTAGGGTCCCTTTCCAAAAATCATACTTCTATCATTTCATAATTATTTAACATATCTTACTTGCTAAATTATTGGTAGTAATACGTAAATAATTATATACCTTATCTCCAAAAAAAAACTAAGATTCGAAAAGAAGAAAAAAAAACATTTAAAATCTGGCGTTTTCCAAGCCGTGCATGTCGCTGACTCTGTTTAAATGCTTCCTCATAATAGCCACTTTCGCCAATTTCTCAGCGGCTTTCCAAGCCGAAGTCGGCGTAAGTAGCTCAGGCTTCTCCTCGGTTCGGTTTAGCAAACCGGTTTTCGGTTTCAACCGGCTTAGCTCGGCTAACTCAGCGTCCAAGCTCATTAAACCATCCTCCGAAGCTTTTGACCGAGCCGTCGTTAGAAGCTGATACGCTCCAGCTAAATCATTAAGCTCGACCAGCTTGCGTGAATCAGCTACAGCGCGGCACACCGAGTGTATATTCCTCAACCGTTCGATGCTCGAAGATACGAACCGGACGGCTTGTGGCCGTGGGATCAAAAAACGTTTTTCTTTCGGACAAGGAAACGGCTGGTCAACGACCGAAGACCGTACGGACATTACATGGTGGGACCCGCTCGAAGAAGTCGGTACTTTGAACTCAACGAGATATTCTCTCTCCTCCTCCGCGAAAAGATCCCCGACGACAACAGCCGAACCGGAACCAAAACTCTCAAACCGACCGGTTAATGAATAAACCGCCGAAATCTCAGCCAACGGAGAACCGGTGACTAAACCGAGATTAACCTTAACGTCATGGAGAACCACGTTTAACAAAGAAGCGATTCTCTCCGTGAACGCGTCGCGAAGCGGCGCGTGATGCAACGCGCTCTGAGAAGCGATCCAAACGGAGTGTACCGGGATCTCGAGACGAGAGAAGCGCGTGGTGGAAACGACGAACGGTACGCGCGTGGCTTTCGTAACGGCCTCCGAATGATCCTGACCGTCGGATAAAACGAATATACTAACCGACGGATTCCTCTCCCTCCGATCTTCAACGACTTTAACCGCTTTCTTCAACGCGTCGTTGACGCTCATCCCTCCTCCTCCGCCGGCGGTTTCAATCCCGACGAGCGCGTCGACGATTCTCCTCGCCGATCGCCGTCCTTTATCCGTCATCCGCCGTAACGGCATCAACCGTTTCGATCCCGTCGAGAAGAGCACGACGATCGAGAGCCGATCCGTCTCCCGGAGAAGAGAGATCACCGATCTCACCGCGTGCTTCACCGTTCGTAGATTCGCTCCGCCGCCGCTCAAATCGAGAACCGTCACTAAATCTATCGACGGCCTGCTCGCTCTGGCCGCGTTCGCCGGCGGCGAAGAGGCTTTTAGCTTCATCATCACGACGTGCGTCTCGATCCTTTTCCCGGATTCCACGACGGCGGATTCCGGTGACAATTTAACCTCCAGGTTCCCGGAGATCGGAGGAACCGAACCGGAAAACGCCGTCGGCGTAAGGGAGGAATCGGAGAAGAATCCGGGGAACTCTTCGGCTTCCTCTACGTCGTCGTTTTCGTCTGATTCTGGTATACTGTTGAAGTGAGCGAGAGAGACAGGAGAGTAAGATAAGGTCTCGTCGTCGTTGTACACTCTTAACGATTTACCCGTTTTGATTTCTCGGATCTCGGGTTTTCTAATCGGGTCGGATCTTAAATTAACAGACTCAGCGTCTGTCTTCGGCGTGTAATTCCACGCGGCGGAACAGAACGGGCAACGTTTTCCGTCTAATTTAACGGCGCAAGAGAGGTGAAACGAATGTGAACACTCCGCCGTGAAAATCGCCGTGGAGTTTATTTGTCCGGAGTTTAATCTCTGTAGGCAAATCCCACATCTGTTATTATTACTCTGCATTAACAAAAAAAACAAAGACTTTGATTAGTTTCCTGTCTGAAAAGTTTTGAAATTTTGATTAGTTTAGTTTCCTGTCTGAAAAATTGTGAAATTAAGGAAATTGATTACAAAAAAAAAACAGGACACACTTTGATTAGTTTCCTGTCTGAAAGGTTATGAAATTTGATTAGTTTACTGTCTGAAAAAATTGTGAAATTAAGGAAATTGATTAAAAAAAAACAGGACACTTTGATTAGTTTACTCCTGTCTGAAATTAAGGAAATTGATTAAAAATGATTAATTACCTTGGTTTTGTTGAGAAGAAGTGTGGCACGGAGGAGAGATACGCCGCCGTGGGAGGAGGAAGAAGATGATTTAGGGGAAGAAGGGTTAGAGAGAAGCTTAGGAGTTGAGCTGTTACTAGTCCTTGGAGTTGCATTGCTTGTGGTTCTGCAATGGAGTTTGGGACTAGTGGTGGGAAGAGATGGTTTATCCGCTGAGGTTGAAGCGGCGGAGCGGCATCCGATTCCATTACTACGGCCGCTGCCGCCAGGAGACCGGACACGAGGAGTTGATGGGTTTGAGAAGAAACCGAACTTTGATCGGAGTCTTGGTGTATGAATGTGTGATGATGATGATGATTGTTGTTGATTACTTGAAACAGAAGTGCAAAACGCTTTTCTCCAACCAAACACCATCTCCAATTTAACAAATGAAGAAAAAGGTTAGTTGTTATCTTCTTCTTCTGATTTTCTCAGAGTAATTATATAGAAGATGATGGAGCTTTGGGTTGTTTGATCATATAAGGAAGATGGAGAAATTAAATAAGATAACGACTAGAGAGAGAGAGAGAAGGAAGATAATTTCTTCTTTAGTGATGCTTCCAAAAAAATTACTGATTTTTAATTGTAGCAAATATTTAAAAGGAGAAAAAATGTGACTTTGTGAGTCTGAAATGGCTTTTGCATGTAATTTCTTGCCTCGAAGAAAAAATCATTACTGTATCACTGATTCGTTTAGTTTTATTGCTGGTCAAACTGTTACTATAATCTTTGTTTATGAATTAAGTTTGTCTCTTTTTCAGATTTCAGTTGTTTCATTGGGATAGAGGATAACAATAACTATGTCAACGCTGCAACCGACCCATACGCAAAGTGAGATTTCATATAACTAAAGACGCGGAGATCTTTGTCTCCATTTGCATCTTGATCTTTCTTTTCCCATATCATTTATCTATTTTATAAACTACTGAATCTAGCTGAATATAAGAAGAAGAGCACATGTTTAAAACCCTTTTCTATTAACCAAGTTGAAGTTTGGAGAAGTTCTAATTTTACTACAAATTTGGTAATATTTTTCAAATATGCCTTTCATAACTATTTTATAAATACTTTTAATCTGTAAGAAAACTAAACTAACCATTTTAAATAATTTATAAATGTGTAAAAAAATATTTATTGAACTTTAAAAACTCAACCTCTTCATTAAATACTGAATCGTAAACAATAATCACTAAAATTTAATTTAAATATTAAGATATTTTGATTGAGTGTATTTAAAAAATTATATTATTTAATTTATGATTTTCCAAATATTTCTCGTCAAAATTGTTTTAACATGACTGACGTAGGTGCTTATCCAGTATAATTTATAACCTGATGAATTTAGGTTCATATATTTAACTTTTCAATGTAGAGAACTAAATTGAAGTTTCTCGAGTATGCTCAGGGCCGGCTCTGAGAATTATGGGGCCTAAGGCGATTTTTGAACGATTTCACCTAAAAAAAAATTTCTATAGATTTGGGGGCCTAAAAATTTTTTTTTGGGGGCCGGTATACATGTAAATTTTTCAAAAAAAATTGGGGGCCGAGGCTAATGTTTCATCCGGCTTTGCCCAACGCCGGCCCTGAGTATGCTACATTGTTCGAAATGTAAATTCTGATAGTTTATATCGCTGGGGGAAGATAAAAACAGGTGAGTCAAACCAAATTCATGTGTCACGTGACAGAATCCGAGCAAAAAACGGCAATTAAGCATGTTTTGTAGAAAAATATATATATACAAATAAAAAACTGAAGATTGCAGAGAAACTTATCAAGTTGTGTCGAACTGAATTGTAGATGGGCAGAGGTCTAGATGTATTTATTATTAGACTGTACCTTCTGTCAAAGTCAAGTATCTTTCGGTATTACTTCTACTGTCTTCTATATCAGTTTAACTTTTATTTTAGGTCTTATTAATATTTATCGCTAATGATCTATTAAAGTTATTACATATGCAAGTGCAGATATGCTGAAAAAAAGTTTGGATGTTTGATAGAGAAAGGTCGAAGTGCACTCATATTTCTTACCAACAAAATAATATAAATTTGTCTACAGTTAGAAAGATCCAGATAAATATAAACAATACGGTGAAGACAAGAGCTAATGATATGACATAAAGATTAAAGTGGCCCAGCAAGTTTTGAATTCTTGTTATGGCAAAATGGGTGGTTTTCTTCGACTACGATAGTTCTATTACTTTTTTTTTAATCTTTGGAAAAAAACTTATAGATCTACTGGCTTATCAGGTGATTAAGATGGCTTTTATTTTAAATAGCTCTGTGGTATAAACGCCAAAATGAATTATTGCAGTTTTTGACTTTATTATAATTTGGAATTTTGCAGATGAGCCACGTGAATGAATGAAACAATAAGGATTAAGACTGCTAAATTGAAACTGTAATCCTGACTCTAATTAAGAATTTGCAAATTGTTTGGTAGGATTTAAGTGGCTGCCATTGTCTGAACAGCACATGACTTCGTGCTTGCCATGCCATGGAATCACTGATTATCCATATGAAAACCTAAAAAAGATTAGTTCGTTAACATATATCGGTAGATGATTTAACAAACTTGTATATACATTAGTTAGAAAACTTGTAGAAGATCTTTTGAATGTCCTACACAATCACAAGTATACAAACTTGGTCTGACCAGAAGAAAATGATAATCAAATCTTTGAAAACACTAAAACAATGTAACAATATTGATACGATTTTGTCCATATAGTAATAGATCATAAACCTCCCATGATTGATAGCTGATAAGAAATCTATGGATACCATCAATTCGGTGGGTTGTTGGAGGTCTACCAAATCGTAACACACATTCATTCTCATGGTCGTATATGCATTTATCAAAATTCTTTTATATGGTTTTAACGCACTCATTGGCACTAGGTCCATTGCCAGAACGAAAAGAAAGTTGATATATATGTTTATTCTAAAATTCGAATCCAGCTGTGAGCAAACGTTACGTTTAAATTAATTGGATATAAAGTTTGGTTCAAACATGTCGTGGGTGGAATCTCGGTTAGTTGAACACCTAGTACTAACATGCTAAATATATATAGAGGATTTGAATAAGTTCCTAATATCAACCAAAGCAATATGTTCCTAAATGTTACTTTAGTTTTCGTTTGATATAGTATACATATAGTATATAGTTTTGGAAACCAACCATAAATGAGTGTTAAAGGTAATGCCACGTTCCATCGTTGCGAAGCATAACTCAATTCCTATCTTTTGGAGACAAATTTGTCACGTCTATTTCGTATTTAATTGTAGAAATACTGAATATACTATATAGTTGATCAGCAGCATACATAAGTATAGAATCTGTCCCATTCGAAATAAGTGCATGGAATAGAGGATTCACGACCAGTGATTATTGTTTATGTGCATACACTAAGAGTTCACGTGAAGCAACATGAATCACACAAATATCCATTCTTTGGATTAAAGTGACAAGACAATTTTAATTCGACCCGTATATTCGTTTCAAGTTATGATAGTATATGAGTATGTAATTATTTCGACGGAATTTATGCTTTGGAGTTGATTAACTATTGCATCTTTGAAAAATCGATACTTGATTATAACGTATCATTTTGGGTGGGGTTTATTTTAACGCATAACATGGAATTAATTTGTTTTGTCAACTCTTAACGGAAATTATTAAAATGAGCAGTATATGATATCGTGGATTTAGTTTTCTATAACAATAATTTAATAAGCAAACCACCATTGCCAAAAGAGTAACCAAAGGCGCATTATGTTCGCATCTTTAGGAACAGAAAACAATTAGGAAAGGATGAGAGAATATTATTATACAGTCAAAATATCTCATCAATATGCTCGTGTATCTGTGATTGTTTTTCTCTGAAAAATATAGAATCTAGTAGTGTTGTTATCTAAATTATTTAATCACTAATATTGAGAATTAATAGGTTGATGAGATTTTCTTTTGGTGAAATAACTTCGATGAGTTAATTAACACACATATGCAAAGGGTAAAAAGAAAAAAAATCAGGAATGTTTTGTTCTTTCGGTTTGGTCAAGAGTTCCATCGAAAAATCGCTTTCATGCAATCGCAAACCTTTCTTAATCTCAGTTTTGTCTCGGGGTCTTCAAGGTCGATTTCATGTTGGTTAAGGATCTACTTGCACCAATTATTTAGCAGCATATCAAATCTGACAGCCAAAAGATGTTGGCAAATCATTACTCCGTAACCTTTCTTCTTGATATTTCAATATATGATAGACACTGAAGAGAATAGGTTGGGGTTAAGCATTTTGACTATCTGGCTTGAACCCCAAGTTGTTGATTCCATGCCGTGATTTCATCCGTGGCCGTTGTGACCATTTCCTAGAAAAGTTTCGCAAACTAAAGCATGTGTTGTGGTTTAAACCTCTAAGTCCAACAACCCTGCTCACCTCCACGATTTGAAATTGTTTGTTAAATACATGCATGCAGTCAAAAAAAGAAATCAAAGGTTTAGCTTTCATTTGAAACATACTCTAAATCGATGGAGGATACAAAGAAAACTTGGGGTTTAATATACACACTTCACAACTAACTTTCGTTACTAAAAACAGAAACAATTTGTCAGCTGCATAAAAAACGTGATTTAAGTGTAAATCCTAATGAATACAAATTACAGAAATTACCATCAACCGTAGATCGAATATAGAAACTATCAGCTGTATTAACATAATTAACCAGATGTTTTAAAAAAAACAATTAAATTTACAAATGATTTTATTTAAGATTATTTTGCAAATACCAAAACAAATAACCGAACCCATAACTCATAACCAAACGAAGAAGGCGGAGAGAGAGCAAAACAACATTACATCAAAATATCCGAAAATATATAAAAGTCAATCACACAACGAAATCAAAAACCCAAACAAAGACCAGACTCCAGAGTTTACTTTGGTCAAAGCAGCAACAACAACAAAATAAAAAGATCATTTGAATTCTTCTTCATTTCCTTACAAACGTAGTCTTTTTTTTTTTTCTTCTTCTTAATAATAATTTTATCTCAGAAGCTAAAGATGTAGAGATGCTTTGATTTTAAAAACACCACCAAAAGGGAATCGCACATATTTCAGTATAATTAGAAAGCTTATGGAATCATTTTCCAACAACTCTTTTAAGCTCTCATCTTCGGTTTCTCCATTGCTCTCGGTGCTGGAGCTGCAGCTGCAAAAACACCACCATAATAAGACATTTCAGAAATTATACACCGGACCAGACCAAACTCTTCAAGGGGCTTAACCAACAGAAAACAAACACATACCTAACCCAATTGCATCAGAGCCTTTCATTATCTTGAGCTTCTTGCAGACACCAATAAATATCCTGTAGATTAAATCAGAATAATCACATTCCAACTAGTATCTTTCTAATGCCTACATGAATGTTCAATATCTAGCAAGAAGCCATAAAGCTCATAAAATAAGAAAGGAAACTTACTCCCATGAAAAGTCTCCAACAAGCATCCAGTCACCATCCTTGTCCTCATAAGTGAGCACATAGTCTTTTCCATTAAGAAGATCTTTGAGCTTGGTCTCATTACGCACATTTTTCCCTGTAGCTCCGTTAGATCCACATTGACCTAATAACATAAACCAATATTATTATTTGCAACTATCAATCCACACCTAACAAAAGAGGCTTTAAGAATAAGATCACTAGCAATCACAGAAACATCTCACCAAGAGTGAAAGTGGTGAACATTTTCTCCAAGGCTGCAGAAAGCTCCCCATAGCTACTGTAGCTCCTCAAGTCAACTTTCCTCAGATAAGGAGCACCATCCATACTAACCTTCACGAAGAGTGGCCCAGAACCTGGCTTCCCATCAACTTCATCACTGTTTTTACATGTGGTAGCCAATGTGTTCTTCCTGTAGGATCTCACTGGTGGCCAACCAACAATCTGTGCCCTGCAAAAAAAAAATTAAATAACAAGAGTTACTACTCATCAGCTTTTAATCAAACTCAAGCAAATGATCATTACTTGGCTGCAGGTGGACTAGAGCTATTGTTTGTAGTGCTAAGCTTTCCCTTAGGTATGTTCTGTGCCACTTCCTTCTTCACCACAGCTTGGGTGTTGGCTACCCCTTCAGGAAACATCCAGTTTTTCTCAGCATAAACCGAACTTTTAGCATCAGGAAACTTATCCATAGTGTCAGAGAACCCTCTTTTGTTCCCAGAGGCAACATTCTTCTGAGAGGAAGACGCGCAGATCTCATCTTTGGAAGGAAGCAAAGGAAAGAAAGGCTTCTCATCAAGCTTCACTGGTGAGCTGAGTAAGTTAAGCTCAGTGTCTCTAGCAGGAGACTGAGACCCAGGAAGGCCCAGTGTGAGCTCAGTGGCTTTGAGGCTGATAGTGGCTTTGTCATCATCTGCAAGGCCGGAGAGATTTGAGCTTCCAACAGAGGAACAATCAGAGAGGCCTAAGTAGTTATGTTCCTTGAGTACTACTCCTATTGTGTTCCTGGTGGAACTTTCCACAGAGACATTGCTCTGCAGCTCCTCTTCTAGTGTCATTTGAATTTTTTTCTTTTGTTTTCTTCAACTGCAAAAACAAACATAATCAGAAAAAAAAAAGTCATTATCTCAACTGAAAAAGACTATGGCCTTATTAGAGTTAACCGGAATTGTATAGTTGGTTTAGCTACAGAGTTAGTTATTCTGTTACAGAGTTAGTTAAGTTGTTTAATTCCAGAGTTATTCTGTTACAGAGTTAGTTATTCTGTTACAAAGTTAGTTATTCTGTTACAGAGTTAGTTAAGTTGTTTAATTCCAGAGTTATTCTGTTACAGAGTTAGTTAAGTTGTTTAATTACAGAGTTATTCTGTTACAGAGTTTATTACTGTGTTTGTATATATACAGAAGAACCGGTTTAATTACATGGTTTAAGCTAAACCAACTATAAAATTCCGGTTAACTCTAATAGGCCATTGTGTTAGAGGTCCCTAGAAACATAAAGCTCATCCACATCAAATTTCACATAATGCAAACATATTTGATTTAGTTACAGAGTCATTCTGTTACAGAGTTTGTTAAGGTTGTTTATTCTGTTACAGAGTTTGTTATTCTGTTACAGAGTTAGTTACTGTGTTTATATATACAGAAGAACCGGTTCAATTACATGGTTTAAGATAAACCAACTATACAATTCCGGTTAACTCTAATAAGCCATTGTTTTAGAGGTCTTAAGACCACTCCACATCAAATTTCACAAAATGCAAACAAACATTAGTAAACAATAATTAGGTTTTAAGATTTGCATCTAACTAACTAACAACCAAATAAACATTATTCCCCAAAATCAACAAAAAAAAATAGTAAATCGTTTCAGAAAATAAACGCTAAGTCACAACAATTAAAAAAAAAAGAAGTCAACTCAGTAGAGAGTCAGATACGTTCTTCTTAAACCTGATCTTAGGGTTTCAAGTTCAACACTAACTACTAGAGATCAGTCTACGCGTGTTTTTAAAAGGAAGAAGAAGCTCAATAGCTCGTAGATCTAGTGACTACCAACACAAAAATCATCAATCAAGCTCTCGATTAACCGGATTTCGAAGAAGAGAGCGAGATTGAGAAGAGAAAATGGATTTTACCTCTCAGAAAGGTAAAACGAATCGCTGATGGAAGTTAGAGCTCACGAAGAAGATTAGATCCAGAGATATTAGCAGAGAAAGGAGAATAACTTAGAAGAGAGCTGAAGAAGAGAGAGAGAGAAGAGAGCACAAAAAGCTTTATTATCATCACCCACAAACTCAAAAAAATAAAAACATTAAAGGAAGTGGCAGAATTGTAAATTAGTGGAGAAGTTTGAGCATTTATGTTTACGGTTTTCTTTTTAATGATTCTGATCCGACGGTTCAGGGACGAGAGATCTCGATCGTCCGATTTAAGCTAAAAGGTTTTGAGCCGTTGATAAATTGCCGGGAGTAGGATTTTTTTTAAGTTTCCACCCGAAAGAGGGATGGTTGTCTGCAAATATTTAATTCCCACCCTGCCCTCTGTCTCTAATGACTAATACTACCCTTGTTGTGTGAATTAAAGAATCGGAGTTTGGAGGGTATGAAGGTAATTAGGAGATGAGTAAAAGAGGAGTGAGAGGGGACAAGAAAGCGGCATCCCAAGTCGGTTTGCCGGGTGGTGAATGGGACATCTAACCTCCTCCACTTTACTCTAATTTCCCCTTTTTAATTAATTAACTTTAATTTTTAAAAAATTAATTAACTTTATTATTAATCCTTTTGATAATCTCTCCTTTTTTCGTTTAAATTAATTTAATTCCGCCACCCTTCTCTAATTTCTTTGTCTTTCATTATTGCACTTCCTTATCCTCCTTTCTTTTTTTTTACTTAAACTGGCCCAACGAAATGGGGCCCATTAGATTAATGTTACTTCCCCAAACCTGAAATAATTCTCCTTGAGTAGTTTCTTTTGTTTGATTGTTTTTACTGCATGCTAATTTACAATATTTAACATTTCTCTTGTCACAAGTGTCTAGAAAATGAAAATTTTTTTTTTTTTTTTTTTTTTACATTGTCCACAGAGCCGAAGATGTGATGGTGGTTAGCTGTGGTAAATTTAGTACTAATTTAGTCACCGTTCGGATTATAAAGTAAAAAAAGAAGTAATTAGTGGATTGGGGAAGGAGGCATAATAATAAGAGAAGAAGCGGTGGAAATGGGGAGTGGAACACGCATGGGAAGCAAAAGATATGGCCGTTGGATTTTATGGAAAGAGGCCTGTGTCCGTCCATCATGAGTTTCTCTGACTGTTTTTAATCATCACTCTTCCGTACCACTCACGTTATTTTATTACTCTCCATTTTATTAAAGGTTAGTTTTATTTGCAAAAAAAAAAATACCATAAACATCTCCAATATATCTTTATGCACAAGGAGAAAGTTTAAAAAATAAAAAAAATCTTATGCACAATGAAAGAAAAAAGTATACCGAGTTTTCTTAACATCATCTATAAAAACTCGTAATACTCTTAGAGCTTTTAATAGTATATTAAAGAAAAATTTGTATGAAAATAGTCAAGACTAAATACTTTCATGTATCAAATATTTAAATGGAAAGTAAACGGAATTTCAGGGGGGGGGGGAGGGGAAAATATTTAATATTACAGGCATTTCAAAATGTGTTGCTAATTAATTACTAGTGTAGGAAACAGAATAATACTGATAAACTATTGTAAAAATGCAAAAGTAAACAGTAGATCAGATTAGCAGTGCGTGAGTACAAATAATGCGGGTTAAGACAAGACAATAGGACCCACAGTGCTTTTGTCCTTCACGCTTATTTTATTAGTCTTTGATAATGATGATTCATTACAGTTAATTAAACAAATTTTCAGTTTAATTAATTAACAATTCAAAGGACAAGGACACGTTACTATTACTTGGGCTCAGACTTAAACCACTACACACACACATAAAGAACATTTATCATGAGGCCTTATAAGATTAAAACATAGGCCCGTAAAACATTTTCTTATTATTTGGGCCATAATCACCAGGCCTGTTAAGTTAGTATGCATAGTTTCGTTATGTACCAGTACAAAAGATATTTCTTTGGTAGCCAAGGCAATGTTGCTGTCAATGTTTATATCTTTTATATGCCCATTTCATTCAATATTTTTTTACATACTCTAGACGACTAATTAATTGTTTATCAAATTACTATATGTTTATCGCATTTTAATACGGTCAAATAGCAACCTATTAAAATCGAATCTTCTTCGTAAGATAATACAATTTAGTTTGGGAATTCGTATAAAACAATGTAAAAAGACGTGATCGTGAATGTATGAGAGGACCACCATTAAAATATATTTGACCAAAATCAAATACACATTCGAGTTTTCACATATAAATCTCCAGGAAGATATTTCATAGCTCGTAATAGATTATTACAAAAGACAATATTTTAAACTATAGATATATGAATTGGATTTACAGGAAAACTATTGTTTTCTATACTTGTTGAAAACACATGTATCAATTAGCATTAGTACCTATCGTCTTGTGTCTTAGTCTACATGTAACATGGTCCCATACAGCTAAGTCTTACTTGTGCAATAGGGTTGAATTTTTCTAGAAGCTACAAATGCATATTAAAGATTTTGTTACATGATTGATGTCACTGAGATAAAAAAACATTTTCTTTTAAAAGCTATGCATTTTGAGTAGATTGGAGTAAAATGATTGATCTCATAACAGACTAAGCATGTTGAATATACCCATTGAGATAATAATTAGTTGATACTACATAATATGGAGTCCATTGATATATATATATATATATATATAATTTCAATGGAATTTGATCCTGATAAAAAGCTAGCTGTGATATGAAAGGTATGATATATGTCTCGAATGATGATTGTTCGCGAAAGGTATGATATATGTCTCGAATGATGATTGTTCGCCCCGCTTCCTGCACTGGATAGTAACAAAAATCTCTATATATACTTATGTATCTATATGTATTTATTTTACGGTTGTTCCGTATGTTATCATTTTTTCCATTCGGAACCTAAGATGAGTTTAGTGGATACATACTCATTCACCTTGAAAGACGGCGGTGACTAGTTCCAAAGACCCATTTACAGTTCAGAGTCTACAGACAAAAAATTTCATTTTATAAAAAGTAACAAGTCTACTTCCAAACTTTCAAGTAAATTTGTATTTATTTTTGAACTTTTAACCCTATCACATGTTACACTGTTTAGTATATTATAAAATATCGGATGCCAAATCACAACGTAAAAATTCAAAGAAGCAATGGTTGTTGAATAAATGGATGTTGTTTTATCACAACAATTAAAGAATAGGAATGGTGGCAGCATGGAATGCTCTAGTTCTCATGCCAATGTGAAACATTTTAGTCTCGAAGAAACCAGTCTTTTCGGAAGATGGGGAGAAGGCAAAAAAAAAAAACTAAACTGAAAGTCAGAATAAAAGTAAAAGTTTTGTCAAATTCGAGTTCCACACGGCAGCTACTCTTCTGTTGTCATTAGATTGTATAGCAGCCGTAAAATCTAACTTAATTTTGACTTGATAAGATATACAGGTTACTGATACTGTGCCATGTGACAAAATGTTTTAAGTAATGTTATCTTGTATTTAATATATCGTTTCTAGGTATCTTCAGCGATCATGCATGATATGTTTATATATAAATTTACAAGTACATACACGTCAAACCTTACATAAATTATAATGTAAAAACAAATCAGTTCCCATGATCATATCTTCTCATCGATTTCTATACTCTCATTTGTCGAGTCATTAAAAATTCATGGACCGATATTTGTCCCTTAGGAACTCAAAGGGCCAAAGGACCAAACCCAAAAACGTTCAGTCAGGTCCATTCTCGTAATTTCAAGTCGAGTGTGGTAGTTTTGAGTCGTAAGGGTGTTTCATTTTCTTCATTTGACAACAGTTTTATGTATTTCCCTAAAGATGTCAAATCCATTTTTCTAATAGATGTTTTTAACCAAACTATCAAATTAAAGAAAGAAAAATGTGACACGCAGGCACCGGCAAAAGTCCCAAACATTTGACGCAAGTATGTTTCATAGTCATCCGAATCTTTGGAGTTTGTTCAATGTATTACAACCTTTTTGCTATTTAAAAGATTTCACCTATATTATGGGTTTTGCTGGATATGAGTAAATACTAGTTCTTGTATCTACTTTTTTTGAACAACTGAATAAAATTTCTTGTATTTACTTTTAGTCCGGATAAGCAATGAAAGAATCACGTTTCCACTGAATCCTTAAAGTATTAATTACTGGTATATGTTAGCACTTGATTATAAGTTATAACTCTCATTTTGTCTATCATTTCAATCAAAAATAATCGTTGTCTTGTCTATTAATGGATATGAAAACAATTGTTTTGTTGGTTGAAGTTGATCGAAGACAGAATTTAAATTAAATCCGTTGATGAGAGACTTAAAGTTGAAACTTGTAAATCTAGAGAGAGCGTATATTTATGAAGGGGACATGATGTTGAGTGGGGACTGGTTTGTCTTGGGACGGTGTAGGAACCAAACACAATTGGTCAATTCCGCCCATCTGCTTTGAAGTTCAATAACTTTTATTATACACAAAGTTATTACAAGTTTTCTTTTGCTTGAAAACAAGAAAACACTAACACCTTCAATTTTTTTTTTGATAATAGTATAGTTTTAATCATTCAAACAACGAATACCAAAATAAAAGGACGTACGTACGATCAAAGGAGTACTTAACTTCTCTTCCAATCGTTACAATTTGGGTGTGCCTGTTAACACGATCCCACACAAAGTTAATGCACACATGGCTATATAAATGGCATCATTTCGTTTTCATAGAGTTAAGTCTACCTATATTACACCCACCCACACACAAATCTCCATAGCACTAAACGAACTTGAATCCAAATAGTAACACCACTACACAAATTAATATACTACAAGTCTTGGCCATGTTGTCGATTCTCATGTTCATATATTTTTTTTTTCTCATGTTCATATCAACAACCTATTATGATTTGCGTATATGAATAATATATTAGATAACATCACATCATGATAAAATTGTATCTTGAAATGTACGAACCACTATCAGAATTATTGTAAACGTTGAAAAACAAATCGATCGAATAGAGACAAACCATGTGATAATTGTTTTGATTTGGTAGCATAATAGTACTCGCCCCCAGCATATACTTTTTGCTCGCATTTAAAAACGCTAAAAAACTATATTATAAAATGTTAACGGAATATCGTCGGTGGAGATGGACGAGCTAACGTTATTCCTTGCATAAATAATTATATTGCGATTTTTCGTTTTCAATCATCATAAAATAACAATAATAGAATTATGTTATCTCAGTACTCACTTATTACTCGGTTAGATGTGTATATAAACCGCAAAAACACGTGAGAACATTGCATAGATGTGAAGAAAGTATCAATTTGGGTTTAAATAAAACACAGAGGAAGCATAGTCTAAAATTGAACTTTCTTGAAGTGTTTCGTACAAGACAGCGAGTAGTGTTTTTGGTAGGGGTAGTTAGTGAAGATAAGAGTATGATTAGGGGTAATTAATGAAGATTAGGTTAGGTAACGGCGGAACAAATATTAAAAATTGTGAATATGGTGGACCTTGGAGACCACGTCTTCTCCGTACAGGCGGCCTCTCTTTTCTCCTCTTTCCACGTACGTTTTCCACTCTCTCTTTCCTTTTTTAAACGCTTCATTCATACAACGATTTGGTTAAATCGAATTTAATCATGTAATCGTTGAGAATAAAAATCAATTAATGAATCTAGGGAGAATTTCAATTATACCACTTTGTTGGTACCACTTTTCATGTTTACCATCAACAAAGGAATATTTTCAAAAATACACATTTTATTAAAGGATAAAAGACTCTTATATCCTTATTTTTAATATATATACATAAAATAAATATAAAATAAAATATTAAACCTAACCCCTAAAACATCACTTCTAAATTCTAGACCCTAAAAAGTAAACCCTAAACCCTAAAAATCAACCCTAAATCCTAAAATATCAATTCTAAACCTTAAACCCTAAACTCTAAACTCTAAAAAGTAAACCCTAAACCCTAAAAATCAACAATAAACCCTAAACTATCAATCCTAAACCCAAAACCCTAAACCCTAAATTCTAATAGTATTTTGACTATTAAAATTTTAGTGGTAAAGTTGGTTAGTGTAAAGTTGAAAAGTGGTATCTTGAAAGTGTTATTTTTGGCAATTTCCCATGAATCTATAGCTTCGCATGAAATCACAAGAAACATAGTAGAGAATATGTCGTTTTTGTGTGTTTAACATATAATATTATAAAATATATTTAATATTGTTTGTCATTATACAGAATATAGACTACCAGTAAACATAATTTCGTTATCGATGATGTAGTTTCCAAGCCATTACTATTAAGCTGAAAAGATATTTGATCAAAATATTTTTTATTTTATCATATTATTGCTAATATATTATGGATCCACTTTGTTTTTCTACTTCAAAAAGAAAAGACCAGCTCGGAAGTCTTTGTCTTCATTTTTGTAAGAGAATCTCACATAGTATTTCTATCAACATCTCCAAAGAATACAAGTTTGGTAGTTTATCATCGTGGAAGAAGATATTTCTCTTCAGAAATCATTGTTGTTCTTAAGCATCAATTCAAAAGAAAAAAAAATCATTGTTGGTCTCACATAGGTGAAACTTGTTTACAGCAAAAAAATTACATTTAAATCACTGTATGGTAAAAGTGATAAAATACAAAATATTCAACAAAGTCAAGAAACATAATCCTTATATTTTTGAAAAAACAAGAAAAAAAAGATCCACCCTTTGATGATATAATAATCAATGGGAATAAAAAATTTGAAAGACGAAAACAAAAGGGACAACTTTATTGTACAGCATATTTGCTTTTTGTACTGAGGAAAACTTTTTTAGTTTATAACAATTGTAAAATAAATAAAACACTTATTTTCTAAAACCCATTAAAAATAAAATTTTTCTTTTATAAATAAACCCTCCATATCTCCTCTAGCTTCCCCATCACCTCTCCTCTCCAAACTCTCACAAACTCTCTCTCTCTCTGTTTCTCTCTCAAACACATGATAGAAGAGAACAATCTCACAAACTCAGCCGTTGATTATATCGCCACAGTAGATGGAGAACACTCAAGATTACTCGCCACCCCACATGGATGCTTCTCGGCCTTCACTGGGATTCCCTCTCGGCACAGCTCTGCTTCTCATAATCATTTTCAGCCTCTCCGGAATATTCTCTTGCTGTTACCATTGGGACAAACATCGCTCTCTCCGCCGTTCTTTGGCCAATGCCTCCGGTCATCCCTCAGCCAACTCCGCCGACATAGAGTCCTCTCCTTTCAAACCTAGACCCCCTTTTACGGTATACTCTTGTCTCCCTGATCCTCAACTTATCATATTAATACTAAAACTTCTGAGCTTTGCAGAATTTACCAACAAAAAGAAAAGAAATCTAGCAAAAGTATTGATTATCTTTTTTTCTAATCTGTTTTTGGAACCAATATTTTTTTGGAACCACGCGTTTGTGTGGTTGGGTGTAGCATGACGTTTCATGGATCCTAGGGAACTTGAGTTCGGATCCGCCTACACTCAGATTATCACAGCGTGTAGCCACGAGAGCTTTTACATTTACATTTTTTTTCCGGGAATGGTTTACCTTTTTCTTTTAATTTGTTTTTGTCTAATTTTTTATTAATTATCTCTCATAGAAGATTGCAGTTTTGAAACTTGTAAGCAACATAAATTTGGTGAAGTAAATATTTGTTTTTTGTTAGTTAAGAATATATATTGCTTACAAGTATATTGAAAAAAAACAGGCGATTGGAATTGTCATCTATTTGGGGTTGATGTCGGAATGTGATTTTTTTTACACTAACTATAAAGTAAAAACAAAATAGGGGATTTGTATTGGTAATTGTAAAACATTTTTAAAAATAAGCAAATACAATGAGTTTAATTTATCTTTTTGGTAAAAAAATATAAGTTTGATTATTAACTATAAATGACTATTATGAACAGGATTTAAAGAAAAACCAGAATCTGAGCGTACCGGTGTTGATGCCTGGAGATAATACGCCTAAATTTATAGCATTACCGTGTCCATGTGCACCACCTCGACAGGAGAAGCTCACCGTCGATGTTCAAAGTCCGCCGCATTCACCGCCTGTTAAGCCGCCGCGTTTTCCGGTTCCTCTGTATTAGAATTAGTTTAGAATTATAACAAAAAAATAGCGAAAATGTCGAAATGTTTTGTTTTGATGTACATATGGATCATAAATTTACATTTTAATTTTTTCGCTGATTTTTTTTTTGTATTCAGTTGGTAACATCATGAAGTGGTTCGATTGTGCGAATAAATAAACATTTAAAGAAAAAAAACCTATTTAGTGAAAAAATAGTTATAGAATTTTTAAAATAAACTATGGAATTAGCTGATAGTTCTGTTTTACAAAATCTTAGTAAAAAAATTAATTACAGAATGCACACTTTTAAAAATGAGCTAAAAATTACCCTTGCATGGTTTTATTGTCTTAATGTTTAACATTATCCAATGTTCATCGATTTGAGCTATTACCTATGTATGCTGTATGCAACAACAAAACACATGGGCCGTTTCGTCAGACGATATTTCCGATGTAGATGTCCTGATTCATTTCTGTTTCATTTGGCTATAAATATGCAACGATGCACGTTCACTGAAAAATATGACTAATATATTTACTTTTATATGTTATTTTGGTAAAAATAATAAAGATTACTACCAGTTTAGGACATCTGGAGATTTGTTTGAATCGTACCATAAATAGCCAAAGCAGATTGCATTTTTCTTCACATTGCCAATTCATTAGTTATCCAAAATTTAAAAGGTGTTTTATGCTACCACGTTTGGTACTTGAAAAAAACAAGCAAATCAATTAGATTTCAAGCTTGTGCGTTGCATCGAGAAGCTTCGTGATTAATCGCTGAACATAGTAAACATTTCGGAATATATGTGATAGGCCTGAAAAAAAAAATCGGAACCGAACCAAAATAGTCGAAACTGGAATCGAACCGAGACTCTCAAATATTCGAACGATTCTTATATTTATATATCTAAAATAAGCGAATCGAATCGGAACCGAACCGAGAACCGAAAGGATATCTGAATATATAATAATACTAATTTTATATACATATAACATAAATAAATATATGATTTTAATTTAAAAATTTATTAAAAGTATCCAAAAATAGTTGAAGATAACTAAATAATTATAGAGTATTATAATTTTATCCAAAATAACTAAAATTTGTATATAAATTGTTCTAATTATTTGATATTTTATCCTAAATAAAAGATCATTTACCCGAACTACCCGAACTCGAACCCGAATTTTCTAGGTGTTTTCTGGTTCCTAGTTTTACTATCCGAACCGAACCGAACCCAAAACTATCCGAACTGAACCGAACCAAAATAGGTCAAGTAGTAAATGGATCTTCTATCTCACTATCCAAACTATCAAAAACCCGAAATATCTGAACCGAACTGAACCGATACCCGAAACACCCAAGCCTAATATGTGATATAATTATTACTTGAGTTTGACTAAATAGAAAAAGATTATACCATCATTATAATTGTTTTAGTTCCTCGAACATATATTTAGCGCTTGGATGAGTTTGAGCACCATAATGTTTTTAAACTCCTGAAAAACGAGACATGTTTGTTTTATGGAATTACTGAAACTGACGTCTAACCACCAACAGTGAGTTTGGTTATTCCTATGATAAAATTTGAATTAGACGTTAAGTACCTCTCCGCTATTTACGTTCTGTTCTGTAGTTTCGGACCCTCGAAATATATAAATTTGGCACTAAAGTTTCCAAATGAAAACTGACGTCACTAGCAAGTTTCTTTACCAAGTGCTCAAAACACATCCCCCACCACTTAGACAATCAACTTCATGACCTAATTTCACTGCTTCTATATATTTATATTCTTATATTCTGCTGATTTGCCATTTTTAATTTTTAAAGAGGTTTGAGACCTTCTTGAAAGGAAAAGTTTTTACACTTATTAGGTATATGAAATTTAAATAAATTACTCACTGAAAAATTAGAAATGATGTCCATATACCATAAAAATTAGTTTAGCATATATTCATATATATATATATATATAAATTTTGAATCTGATTATGTATTTTTAAACAACACTAAAGATGCTAAATATTATAGATAGCATTTATAAGAAAGTTTAATATTTTCGTAGAGGTTAACCCATATATTTGAAGATAAAAAGATATAATATTTTTGTTTTAAGACATAGCTGCATCATGTAATGACATGGTATGAAGATTAAAGATAGTTAAGACCTTAGATGTTTTCGTTTCTCTATAAAATAAAATAGAGATTTTATAGAGGTTAGTCCACTAATTAAGATGTATCTATTTTTTTTAAATTTACTCCTTGGAAAATCATATTTGATGTCCATGTACCATGAAAATAAATTTAGGATACATTGTTATAAATTTTTAATGTGGTTAAATTTTTTAAACAACACTAAAGAGGCTAAACTTAAGTACAAATAGCATTTATCGGAAAAATTCAATTTTTCGTAAGGGTTAACACACTGATTTCAAGATAAATTAGAAAATATGGAACTTTTGTATTTATGCAGAGCTTCATCCAACACTGATATATGATGAATCTCAAAGAGTTTTGGTATCTTAGTTGTCCAAATTTCTCTAGAAAATAGAGATTTTAAAGACATTAGTTAATTGATTTTGGTGGTATATGGAGTTTTATTAAATTCCCGGCTGAAAATTAGAACTAATGTCCATATACCTGAACATAGGTTTAGTAAATTAATATAAATTTTAAATATGGTTAGGTATTTTTAAACGAAACTAAAGAAGCCTATATATAACATTTATCGCAAAACTTGATCTTTGTGTAGTGGTTAACCAACATATTTGAAGATAAATTAAAAAAATAAAATATTTGTATTTTAATGAATTTCTACATCATGCACTGACATGATATGGAAAATAAAGAGGGTTATGACCTTAAGTGTTCCAACATTGAGATTGTTGTTAGGTATTTTAAACAACACAAAAGTGTCAAAAAATTTTAGATAGCATTTATCAGACATTCAAGTTTTTTGTAATGGTTAACCCACATATTTCAAGAAAAATTAGAAAATATGGTATTTTTGTTTTAATGCATATTTAAATAGTATGATGATTAAAGAGGTTTTAGTTTGGTTAGGTATTTTTAAACAACACGAAAGTGTCTAAACATTATAGTTAGCATTTATCGGAAAATTTCATTTTTTTTGTAGGGGTTAACCCACATATTTAAAGAAAAATTAGAAAATATTGTATTTTTGTTTTAATGCATATTTTCATCATGCTCTGTCAAAGTATGAAGATTAAAGAGGTTTTATACCTTATGTGTTCCCATTTCTCTAGAAAATGGAGATTTTATTGGAGTTACTACACAAATTAGATTGTATATGAAATTTAAATACATTACTCGTTGGAAAATTAGAAATAATGAACATGTACCATGGAAATATGTTTAGCATACATTAATATACATTGAGAGTGTGTTTAGGTATTTTAAATAACACTAAAGTGTCTAAAAAATATAGATAGCATTTATCCGAAAATTCAATTTTGTTTTTTTAGGGGTTAACCTACATATTTCAAGAAAAATAGAAAATTTGGTATTTTTCTTTAAATTAATATTTGCATCATGCACTGACATAGTATAAAGATTAAAGAGGTTTTACACCTTATTATTCCTATTTCTCTTGAAAATAGAGCTTTATAGGGATTAATACACTAATTAGATCATATATGAAGTGTAGATAAATTACTCATTGGAAAGTTAGAAATCGTGAATTGTACCATAAAAATATCTTTAGCCTACATTAATATACATTGCGGGTGTGGTTAGGTATTTTAAACAACACTAAAGTTTCTAGAAATTTTAGATAGCATTTATCCGAAAATTCAATGTTTTCACAGGGGTTACTAAACTAATTAGATCGTATATGAAATTTAAATAAATTACTTGTTCGAAAGCTAAAACTAATGACCATATACCATGAAAATATTTTTAGTACATTAATATACATTGAGAGTTTGGTTAGGTATTTTTACACAACACGAAAGTGTCTAAATATTATAGTTAGCATTTATCGGAAAATTCAGTTTTTCGTAGGGGTAACCTACATATTTCAAGAAAAATTAGAAAATTGGGTATTTTTGTTTTAATGCATATTTTCATCATGCTATGACATAGTATGAATATTAAAGAGGTTTTGGAGCTTATGTGTTCCTAGTTCTCTAAAAAATAGAGATTTTATAGTGGTTACTACACTATTTAGATCGTATATGAAGTTTAAATAAATTACTCGTTGGAAAATTAGAAGTGATGACCATGTACCATGAAAATATATTTAGCATAAATTAATATACATTGAGAGTGTGTTTAGGTATTTTTAAACAACACTAAAGTGTCTAAAAAGTATAGTTAGCATTTATCAGAAAATTCAATTTTTTCGTAGGGGTTAACCTACATATTTCAAGAAAAATTAGAAAATTTGGTATTTTTATTTTAATGCATATTTGCATCATGCTCTGACTTAGTATGAAGATTAAAGATCTTTTAGACCTTATGTGTTCCTAGTTTTCTAGAAAATAGAGATTTTATTGGGGTTACTACACTAATTAGATCGTACTATATGAAGTTTAAATAAAATTTCTCTTTGGAAAGTTAGAAATGATAACCATGTACTATGAAAATATGTTTAGAATACATTAATATATGTTGAGAGTGTGGTTATGTATTTAAAAAAAAAACTAAAGTGTCTAAACATTATAGTTAGCATTTATTGAAAAATTCAATTTTTTCGTAGGGGTTAACCTACGTATTTCAAGAAAAAAAAGGTTTTATAGAGGTTACTACACTAATTAGATCGTAAATGAAGTTTAAACAAATTACTCATAGGAAAATTAAAAAATAATGACCATGTACCATGAAAATATGTTTAGCCTAAATTAATATACACTAAGAGTGTGGTTAGATATTTTTAAACAACACTAAAGTGTCTAAAAATTATAGTTAGCATTTATCGAAAAATTCAATTTCTTCGTAAGGGCTAACCTACATATTTCAAGAAAAAAAAGAAAATATTTTATTTTTGTTTTAAT